TCCTAGTAGCTGGTGCAGTGCTGTGTTTTTGACTTTCAGCCTGGGAGCAGCGCTGATAACACCGATGTTTTTATTTGCTGTATGTTTACAGCATTGCAGTAATGTTTACTCTGACCAAGGACTTTCTGAGTCTCATGCTCTGCCAGGGATGAGGGGAAGCCGTGAGAAAGCAGAGACAGGACATCTAACCCAAACTAGCCAAACAGGTATTCCACACCACAGCACATCATGCCCAGTATATAAACTGGGGGTGGTTACCCGGAAGGGCTAGATCACTTCTTGGGTCAGGCTGGGTATTGGTCTGCCGTTGGTGAGTGGCTGTATTCTCTTCCCTTGTTATTTCCCTTATCATTATTATTATTGGTGGCAGTGATGCACGGATTCACTCCACAACTCGTTAAAGTTGTAAAGTAGGTATGCTTTTTATTCAGCACTGAGACACACGGGGATAATTCCTCAAAGTCATGCGTGCCTCAGTGTTGTTTCCCTCTACATTTATTCTCTAAAGTTATATATATTCATAAGGTTGCACAATAGGCTTATACATATTCATGTCCTATCCCCGCTTCGTATTATAATGAGTTAGAAGGTCCTTTGCGCCTGCGCAGTGCCCCCTCTGGTCATGGGCAGGGGTCTCAAGATGAAGTAACTGAGTCTTCCTCCTGTGGGTAGGGGTCTTCAAGATGAAGTAAATGAGTCTTCCTCTTCTTGAACTTTTCACCTTTTAGTCTTCACATATGGCCTTAAGGTTTGGTCATTGTCCCAGCCATAAACCATCTGCTTCTCCCCCTTCAGGGGTCTGCTTTTCCTTATCAATAGCTGCTTATCAGTAGAATCAGGCCTCTGCTTTTCCTTGTCAATAGAACCAGGTGTCTGCTTTTTCTTATCAATGGTTAGTGCCTTTGTTCTGCTTAGTAGGCATGATAGGTACAGACAATACTTTTGTTTAAGCAAGCGAATTCCTCTAACTCCCTTGTACAACCCCCCTGTACATTGGTTAACCCTGTATCAGCAGCAGCAGTGGTTTGTGTTATACCTTAGTTACTGGACTGTTCTTATCTCAGCCCGTGGGAGTTACATTCTTCTGATTCTCTTTTCCATCCCTCCGGGAGCTGAGGAAGCAAGGTGAGGGGGAGTGAGCTAGTGGCTCCGTGGTTCTGGGTTGCTGGCTGTGATTAAACTACGACAACTGTGTGAAAAGCACTTTGTTTTTTTGTTTGCTTTAAACTCTCTGCCTAATAATACATTGGGTCGTCCTTAGTTCTTCTGTTGTGCTAAACAGTGAATAATTGTTCCTATTGTTATGCAGCACATCACTGTGATTAATGTCTTGCTCATATTGCTAGCAAACTGAGTTCTAGTCTATTAACTGTCTCCTTTTATGAAAGCTGTTACATATTTCTGATCCTCTTTCTCTCACTTCTCTTCATTTTTTATTCTATTATGTCTTATTTCAGGTAAGTGTACCAGAACAGTACATGTTATGCAAGATATAGGTGCGCCATAGATTTATACAGACTGCAGTGATGTTCTGTGTTCTGCTGAGTACTTAAGATATTACTATCACAAATATCAGTTGCATTGCAAATTCTTCTGCTACTGTGATTTAACAGAAATGAGAATGAGGCTACAGATGAGAACACAAAATAAATATTGTGGTCACAGATATGACACTTGTAAGTACTGTGTTGTATCTCCATTTAATCTAGGCTGTCTCCTAAATATCTTCATATATAACCTGTCTCATTTATCTTCATGTATAAGTATGTCTTATCAGCATAAGAAAGATTTTTCTTTCACAATTTTCTATTTACTATTAAAAAGTTTGTTTAAAAAGGCTGGGTTGGCCAATTCCGTGATTTCTTAAGAAAGAAGGAAAGGAAATAGTACTGTGAACTTGATCAGAACTTCACCATGACTTCTAAATTCTCAGCAGAGATGTAGGGGATGTTTTCTTCTCTGATAAGTGTTTACAATAATTTAAAATTTAATGAGGACAAAAAATTTGTCAGGAATTGTTTTTCTCTTATAGCAGAATGAGCAGACAAAGGAAAGATTTTGACTGCATTCATCTTATGACCATTGCCAACAGCAAGTGATCTAGCAGGATAATATGCAGACAAGAAAAAATAATGACTTTGTCATAATTTGCTTGGTTTTTCACTGGTGTAAAAAATAAAAATCAGATTAATGAATCTGTAAGAGAGCATTCAATTAAAAATGCTTCATTGGACTAATGTTTTAACTGGAGAATTGCCTGTGATATCTTCAATAATGTTTCAGTTATCGTGGTTCTGTGCTTCTCATAGGAAATAAAATTACAGTGGATCTGCTTTTTGAAAGCTAGTCATTCCTCTCTTATTTAGTGAATTGGTAGCATGTGTTTGTTTAAGAATATGGTTCAGTTTAACTTGACATAACATTTGGTGGATGAATAATAAAGAAGAATCTAAAAGATAACAGCAAACAGAGTTAAAAATATCCTACAAACCAAACAGAACTAATGTTGCTTTATTAATGCTTGAAATCTGAAAAAAAATGTGCAAATTAATCATTGCTTAATGCCTATTTACCAATAACACTAGTGACAATAAATTGCACACCAATTTAAATTCTAATGCAAATGCTTAATTGCAGTGTACATTGTTAGGTCTACAATGTATTCCATCATTGATTTTCACAAGGAATTTCACAGGCACTAGTTTCTTTTTCTTGTCTCTAAAATGGGAATTAGGAGGGATCTTATATTATTGCTTTTTACATGCATTTTTCTATTTTGTTTTTATTATATTATATATATTATATAATATATATAATAATATTATATATATTATATATGATAAATTATATATAGCATTTTACATGCATTTTGACATGAATGGTCAAAAATCTTTATTGGGTTAGACAAGCCTTCAGGTCTTGGCATACCATGCTTGTTCTGTATGTCCCTATTAAGTACCAAAATCTATGCCCAAGAGGTAGCTTAGAAAACAACAGGATGCTCATTTAAGACAGAAAGTACAGGTGCCAAAACAGGCTGATCTCTCATTTGACCTCAGCAGTTCTGTCCATTTTTGCATTGTGTACTCAGTTCTTTAGCTAAGCTTAGCATGCTGAACCCAAAACACAGAGTGGTGTTTTTACACTCTGATATTACAAGTGTAATGAATCTGAAATTCTTAGCTACACTGCATTTGTACTCTGATTTAATACTTTGGTGCTACGCTCTTGGTTAGACAACTCAGCGTCAAACCTACACCTGTGATGAGTCTCTTGATTACTAGCTATTTTGGCAATACAGTGGCACTTAACACATCTACTGATTTCAGAAAATCACTGTGGGTCTTCAATGCATTTGAAAGTCAGGTTTTTTTTCTACTGAGATACCTATATATGAATGTAAGAACAGACTTTTAGCCTTCTTCACCTTTAATTTTGAAAGCATTAAATTAATTTGGTTTAAAGTTTAAACAACATAAATTAGAATTGCAAAAATAGCTTCTTGGCATGTGAATCCTTTGTGGGACTGGTTTGTTGTTTTTTTCCTTTCTTATTAGTATAAAGCATATTGTCAGAACTTAACTTATAATAAATAACAGATAACTAAAGTATGCTCACTCACAGTAAGGCTGAATTTGACCCTGTATTTGTGAACTGACAAGCCATCTAGGCAGCAACTGTGCCTCAGGTGGTGCTATTGTATTCCTAATCATACTTACTGTCAATTAAAAAAAAAAAAAGAAAAAGTAGAAGTTGCTAACATAATTATTACAATGAAAAGAAAGAGTCATTCTCACAATAACACTGAAAGAGCTAAAAGGTCACAGACTGTCTTTCATTAAGAGATTTTTAAGATATGATTTTTAAAGCACAGTGAACCTAAATATCCGTTTTGTTCTTGAACAAACTCCCAGGTCATTGCAAAGGTGTTGTAATGAGATAGTGGTTTAGTGTTCTATTTCTTCAAAGCAATAGGCAGTAGTTCCATCTGTCCCCATACATAGCTCATTTCATGAGAGTTACATGTGCAGCTTTTTTACAGAAAATATGGATTTTTAACAGGGGTTGAGGAATCAATCATGAGGTATCAAAATTCTTCCCATTGTCTTTAATTGCACATTTTTATTGAAAATGAGATGGGAGCTCTATATTTTTAGTATTTCAAACATGCCGTAATTTGCATTTCTTTTTTTTCCTTTTTTTTTTTTTTTTAAATCCTGAAAGCCATTACATTTGTTTTTACTCATCTGCATTGTAAAACACAACATACAGAGGGTGGAAGCAAGAATGGGTAACCCAGGAGGAATATGTCAACATTGTCTGAGCATCCAGGGATGAAGTTAGGAAAGCTAAAGCCCACAGAGAATTGAATCTGGCATGGGATGTCAAAGACAAGAAGGGCTTCATTAAGTAAGTAGGTCACAAAAGGAAGACTAGGCAAAATGAGGGCCATTGCTCAATGAGGTGGGGGACCTGATTACACAGGACATGGTAACACTGAGATACTCAATGCCATCTTTGCTTTAGTCTTTACTAACACAACTAGCCTTCAAGAATTCACAGGTCCCAGTGAATGACTGGAGCAAGCAAAATAAACACTCAGTGGGGAAGGATTAGGTCAGGGAATACTTAAGCAAATGGAGCCATGATAGGATGTACCCACTGGTGCTAAGGGAGCTGGCAGATGTCATTGAAAGGCAACTCTCAATAATCATTGATCAACCATGGCAACTGGGGGAAGTGTCCAATGACTGCAGGAAAGTAAATGCCACTCCTATCTTCAAGAAGAGCAAAAAGGAGTACTCAGTGAAATACAGGCTGGTCACCCTCCCCTCAATACCTGGGAAGGTGATGGAGCAGCTAATCCTGGGAACCATTTCCAGGCACACAAATTCTTCAGGAGTAGTCATCATGGCTTCACCAAGGGTCATGATGGGGCAGCACGTACCATCAGCAAGTCTGTTGATAACACAAAATGATGAGTATCTGACCTAACTATTGATCTCTTAGGTTGCAGTTCAGTCCATTTTATTTATCCTAAAGATGGGAATCTAGACTGAGAAGAACTAGTCCAGGTAAGACCTAATCTAATATTGCATCAGAGGATTTTTATAAGGAAATTGTAGACATGACTCTCCAGAAGGTCATTTACTACACTTGTCTAGGGAAACAAAGCTTTGTTCTGAACAGACATAAACAGCCCAAAAGAAAAAAAAAAAAAAGTGCTGTTGTACCAGCAAGTGGTTACTTTAATACTTTTGGAACAAGCAATATTTAAAAGCATGACTGAGGCTAAATCCTCCTCCTCCTTTCTTCAATAACTACAGTATCTTTGGCATTCAACTGGAAGAATGTCTGAAAGGCATTTTTAATCCAGAAGACTTCAGGGACTGCTGTGGGGAATGCAGAATTACAGCTTGCATAAGACAGAACAACACAACTCAGAAAAAAAGCTGTGGTACAGGGTGATTTCTAAGTATAGGTAGAATTCAAAAGAAACCCATCTCAAGAACTCGGCTCCTTGTTTTGCTTTGGAACTGTCCTGAAACCCAGATACTTTTGCAGGAATTGCAGCAGAAAGCCTTTCCTGAGAGCTTTGAAGTAAAATGATGGGAATTCCTCCAACAATTAAAATTATGGGTAGAATCGTAGAATCATAGAAACATAGAATCGTTAGGGTTGGAAAGGACCTTAAGATCATCTAGTTCCACCCCCCCTGCCGTGGGCAGGGACACCTTACACTAAATCATGTCACCCAAGGCCTCATCCAACCTGGTCTTGAACACTGCCAGGGATGGAGCATTCACAACCTCCCTGGGCAACCTATTCCAGTGCCTTGCCACCCTAAAAGGAAAGAATTTCCTTCTTATATCCAACCTAAACTTCCCCTGTTGAAGTTTTAACCTGTTACCCCTTGTCCTGTCACTACAGTCTCTAATGAAGAGTCCCTCCCCAGCATCCCTATAGCCCCCCTTCAGATACTGGAAGGCTGCCATGAGGTCTCCACACAGCCTTCTCTTCTCCAGGCTGAATAGCCCCAACTTTCTCAGCCTATCTTCATATGGGAGGTGCTCTAGTTCCCTGATCATCCTCGTGGCCCTTCTCTGGACTTGTTCCAACAGTTCCAAGTCCTTTTTATGTTGAGGACACCAGAACTGCACACAATACTCCAAGTGAGGTCTCACAAGTAATTTAATGTAACATCAGCAAAACAGAGAACATGAGTAAGCAGCTTTGTTACGCAAGTCTAGAGCAAATATGTAGTTTTCTTCTCTTCCCAAATGTTTCTCTACTTATGTATTTTCTCCTCTACAACTGGAACACATTAACAATTTTTGTTGTTGTATATCATGCTATGGCTGATGAATATTTTAAAGAATTTAAACAACTGTGGCTCAGGTCCAGTGTTTTCAGAAGAGATGTAACATGGACAAATTAGATCTTTTCTCAAGCATTTCCATATCTGCCACTTTCTGTGCTGAATTCAATGCCAGCATTGCATCTGAAGCACTTCTATTTACATCTATGTTGTTACTCATGCAGAAGCTGTAACATTCAAGGTCATGACTCATAACAGGGAAAATCAAATTTTCCTGCAGTTCCTTTACCAGGGTCTGCCAGTAAGTCCCATTAGTTGTTATAGTGTTTCAGAAGTCCTCTTGCTTTGTAAGCACAAAGAAAAAAAATACCTCCGTCCTTTATAGGCCTTTCTTGTTTCTGCTTCCTCTGAGATCTCTCAGACTTCACACAGCTGATGGTATCTTTCTCAGACTAGCAGACACATCTCTCTAAGTAAAACTGCCAGCAGCAAATGTCAACTATTTTCTTTTATCAGTACTAAGATGGTCCCTAGCAGCTTGGCTTAGTTTCTTGGTTCTTAGCTGTAGTTGAGAGCTGTGGCAGTTAATGATAATGACTTACGTTTGTCTAGTACCTTTCATCTGGCAGCATCTAGCAGGATCCAAAAATGTTTTATCTGATTGACAAAACGTGCAGAGGGAGCTCTGTGCCTACCACTGAAACGCAACCAGAGAGGAGAGCACTGCAACTAAATGAAAGTACAGAAAGATTTCATATAGACATCTATATCTTCCTCTTCTGTGATAGCTGGGAAATAATATTGTGGAACAGCGCTATCATGGACTCCCAAGAAGTGGTTCATGCAGTAATTTTGTCGTGTTATAGCATCTCTTCCATCATTACTGAAGGAACAAAAGCCAGAGGTGGGGGGCTGAAAGGGAGAACAGAAGCAAAGGACTAGTATCAAGACAAATCTCCAGTAGAACAATGGGGATCTTGCTTCCATGTAGAGCACTGGCAAACTTGCCATTGTAATACCATATCTAGGTTTGGGGATTAGAGAGAAAGATTAAATTACCATAAAGTACTCTAATGATAATCACAAAAATGGTCAAACGATTTTTGTTTTTTAATTAGTACCATTAGTTGCATTTTTGAATTTGACACAAAAGAAGAAGACCTTTAATAATAGGTATAATCGTCAGAGAGTCAAGAGACAATGCAGAAGAGGTGCACTGGATGTTCAAAATACCATTTAAAAGGAGCATGAAGCTATGACAAATGCAGTAGTAGAAACAGAAGGAGAGCAAAATGATGAAGTTCAATGACTTTTGGGTATCTAAAAGAAAAGTAATCCCTGCTACTGTTTGGGCCCTCATCTATTAGAAGTGTGAGAGGAGAAGAAAGACTCTTGGGAGGATGCAGTGATTGAAGGTCATTAAGGTCATGTATCCTTGGAAAGATCAAATGATCTCCTAGGTTACATCTGAGGAAGTATTTCAAACAGTAGTGTGACTGCATAAGGCACTGCTGAGACCATACCTGTAAAGATTTAGCAGTGTGTGCACAGGAAAGATTAAATAGACCTGGAACTGTGCACTGATAGTCCAATAGGACTTTAAAGGGAGTGTAGTGTTTCCATTGTGAGAAGAAATAAAAGAATGTGACTAGTTTATTGGCATGAAGTCTGAGAAAAGTTGTGCTTTGTTTCAAAAAATGCAGAAGGGAGGAAACACCTAGGAGAAAGAAATATTTAAGTAAAACGGATGCAAACTGTATATGAACAAATGCAGGCTCAGAATCAGAAAAAAATATTTCTAAAAACATAGTAGCAGAACAAAAAATTTTAAGATTAAGCAAAAGAATTTCTGAAAGGATAATACTATGTAGCCATTAACGGAGCCTGAATCCAGTAGTTCAGGATGTCACTCCCAATAGTCATTACCAATACTGCTGTTATGGAAATATAAGCTGATCACCAGGAGAACAAACACAAGGAAATTATCAAAGAGTTACAAGTAACCACATGTCAAATGGTAACCAGTAATTCTCTTTGTCCCTGACCTTTGCCCACATTAAACACAAGGCTCTTTGACAAGTGAAGCCTTGTTTTGGGGTCCTACTAGCCAGAAGCCAACTACTTCATTAGATTTGACCATCAGTCACAGAACATAGGAAATGGGTGGAAATATAGCATATCAAAACTAAAATAATTTACAGGTAAATGTCAGTTTTAACAATGTTCCTCTTAAAAAAAAAAAAAATAAAATTTCAAAGCATTCATTTTGGAGTTGCCTTACCTTTTTCCTGCTAAGATTTTGAAGTAGAAGGCTTTTCTGTTTTATTTTTGAGTTTTACTTACTAGTACAATAGGTTTAGAATTTTTAAAAGCTAAAATTAAATACATATATTGTCAGAATGAAATGCATATACTATCAATAATAATAATTCTGTAGAGTTAATTGAGATTTGCTGAAACTTTTGGGACTTTTTCAGTCTGAATTGGGATTGGAAGAAAATTTTGGATCTGAGGAAACTGTCAAAGGACTGCAAATATTTTCATAACCATATTTCATTTACCCTGATCTGACGTGACCATTAAACCACTTAATTGAAACACGAACATTTAACATCCTGCTTGCTATGGTATAAAGCGGTACAGAAATCCAATAGCAAGTTTAAACATGACATATATTTATAGATATTTCTCTAAGCACCAGAATACCCCAAAAGCCAACAATATAAAACTGTGAGTTTTTTAACATGAATTAGCTTCTCTGATGCTGTTCACAGTGTGACACCAAACAGTGATTTCAGTGGTTTGTCTGAGGGAGTGAGATGAGACAGTGATAATCAGTGAGGCTTAGGGCATGCATAAGAAAACACTGATGCCAAAATAAATACTTGTGTAATGAGAACCTCAGACTTACTCTGAAATTATTGTTTCCTCCCACTGTTGCTTACCTATCCCTGTAATTTTTTTATCTGTTTTAATTATTTGCTTGAAAGTGCTCCTCAGCAGGACTGAGTCATATGTAATACTTATAAGTACATCTTGTCTTAAAGACAAAGTTTTATTTCCACTGGGGGGGGTGGAGGGGGTGGGCGGGAGGAGAATATAAGCTGGGAACACTTGTGACCGTGAACAGTTGTTATTTCTGAAAAGCACTTCTTTCACTGAATAAGATGATCAATTATTATAAAACAAAACATCTATCTATAATTTATTTTGCTATTGGGTTAAATGAAAGAAAGCATTTGCCCAGCTAGTGTTGTCACAGAGTATAAACGCATAGGGGACACTTGCAATTCTTCTTGGGACTTTAGAAACTTAGAGTTATTTTTTTTTTCCCCAGTCCATGGATTTTATTCAATTAATTGAAATAGTTTTAGACATGGTAATGTTAGACTCAAGATGGATAATTCTTGTACTTTAACCAGCATGGGAAAAAAAAAAACAACAACAAACACATTAACTCTCAAATCTGTCTCTATTTTGTACACTTCAAAATGAAGGTAGACTGTTGTTTGTTTTTTTTTTTGATGCTTTTGCTAATTTGAAGATATGTGAAACATGAGTTCTCTTTAGGTACACCATTCTTGTTTCCCTGCAATATACTCCTGTTTATTGCTGAGTATAAGGTAATTTCAGAATAGTGAAGGACTGTTGATTTACCAGCTAAATGATTACTTTATTCACTCCTGTATTTAACCAAACACCAGCTTGAGTGATTACATTCTGCCTACCTAATTTCCCCCTATACTTATAAAGAATTTGAGCCTCATCTTGCTTATTCAACTCTACATCTGTGTAACAATGACTGCATCTGCCCGTGTAGTTAAGCAAAAGAATAAATGTGCTGTAAAGGATATATATAAAAAACATACTTTTTCCTTCTTTTTTTGAACATTCACCTGAGTGGTGGTTGAATTTCAGTGACTGGTGATTCACTCCTTCCATTTTTAATTATTGCTATCACCAGTATGGCTTTCAGTTAAGGAAAAAAGATAAATACAAGAAAATTAAAATTTCTTTTCAGTACTTTCAGAATGAACGGCTGACATCTGCAATGGGGAAATTTTCCTAAAGCCATTGGCCTGAGTCTGATCATAGCTGCCTGAAATGCCCTACCCTTTATCTCCTTAAATAATTCAGAGATGCAGTTGCATTTACTACTGTGCTGTGTGTCTGTGTGCAGTTAAGTTGCCACAACCTACCCTAAAGCTATTGAGGTAATCTCCAAAGACATGGGGTGAAGTACAGTTCAAAGAAAGCTTCTCTGGGCATTTCTTTTTCCCATACCTTTAGCTTGGTTGTAAGTAAACGTGATTTGAGTTAGACAGGACAGAACAAACTGTCTGATGGTCTTTCCTGTGGGGACATAGACATCAATCTGTAAGAGTTCAGATAGTACAATTTTTTTATACCTGGAAACAATGCAGTCTTGTTTCCCTCATCTGGTTATGCGCAATAGACTGACAATCCTTTTTCTCCTTATAATAGAGCTAATGGCAACTGGAAATGACAATTTCAAAGTTAAGTTAGTATAACATTGTGTAACTTATTTGTGAGAATAATGTTAATGAACACATCGCTTTGCATCATGCTGGAAAAATACTGTCATTAATTTCATTAAAACCTCAATACATGATGTTTGCTTAATACGAAAGGTGTGTCCTTTCTGGTACTGATTGACAAAAAATTTAATGGAAAAGAGGATTTCTCTATATTTTTATTAAAATTCTTGGAAATTGACCTGGATTTTTACTAGAAGATTCATTAATATTCATTTGTATATAATTGCCTTAATTTTAGAGATAATGACTTCAGTTACCAACTGTGTGATTGATGGGACTTGTGTTTTCTCTCTGAAGGAGATGAGCTAAATAAAAAAAGTAGAAACTTGCCATTCATGCATGATATTTTTAGCTGCTTTTAATTACAAGCTAGCTAAATAAGCATGCAAATGTTGCTATGATTGATAGCATCTCTATGCTATAGTGATTGTTTTGCTTGAAGTTAGAAGGTGCTTGATCAACTGAATTCTAAAATTAACTGGAAGTTGCATCTCAAAGAAGCCTCAATTCTTACTTAAATCAGAAATGAAGAAGAAACACTTAAATAATTTGGCTGTTCCAAATGCATACATACACACAAGCCCCTCTCACTCTCACACACATAATCATCTTCATAGTAATCTGCAAAGATGCCACCAAGATGGGTATTGTGTATATCAACTAGATAGGAGCCATTTGTCCTTTCCTTTAAAATCCCTTGTGTTTTCAAAACAGTCTTGCTCTTCCCTGGGATGAACTCATAGCAAGGAAAACAAGATATACAGGTCACTCTCAATATTATTTTCATTGTTATGCCGGGCAGTCAATATCCTTGCTTTGTCATTGTCCTGTGTTGCAGAGCCATAGTCAAATAGACACACTTGCCTAAAACACATAACCCTCCTTTTGCATCTTCTATTATCAGTTACATCTTCCCTAAAGTAAAAGATCCAAATCAGCTGAGCCTTCTACCGCTTATTCTAGTCTCCTGGCCAAAAGTGCCAAAGTGCCTGACCAAGTGCCCTGGTCATCTAGAACAGAAAATTATAAAAGCTTTTTTCTTATACTTTCATGAGAAACTCTACTATGTTTCTGAGGGAAGTGTTGAAATTAATGAATACCCTTTCACTATATTATACCCATATTGAGTGAATGCATGATGCTGTTATTATAATCTGTTAGGCTCAGTCATTATAGAGAAGGTGACTTACAAGTGCAATGAAACCATCAGCGTGGTAATATCATAGAAAGCTGAAATAATTTCTTATAGTAATTGATATGTTTTGCTGAAATGATTTTCTTGGTGATCAAGACCATTTCTCATTATTCATTCGTCATTTAAAACAATATCATACTGCTCATAAAGTCCAAGATAAATTTATGTTGAGAGTAGTGCTAGAGAGGGATTAGAACTTCAAAATAATGATTTCTTAATACAGGATGACCTACATTTTCCTTCACTTACTTTAAAGAAATTATCCCCAAATAATGCTATTTAATAGAATTTTTTAAATTATATTTTTCAGTGGTTCTATGAATAGCTGTCTGTGAGTTTACTGATTCTATGGTTACTGGAAAAACCGGCAAACCTTGTGTACACATTGCAGGGTGTAATTACCTGATATCAAATTTCTGGTGTTGTGTTGTCGTTCTCCTTTCTCTGTATGTGTCCAGTATCAGAATAAGGAGCACAACTGCAAGAAAAGCCTGGGTTTGACCATAGTGTGGTTTTAAGTCAGAATATTTGAAATTACAAGCAACCAGCTGCAGACTGGAGTAAACCCATTCAAACTCAGTCTGGATGACTGGTGCAGTACTGGGGAGCATGGCAGCATTAACTTTATATAATGACCTGCAAGAACTATGTGTTGATGAAAACAGTTTGGAAGCACTGTACAATATGGAAGAGACAAAATAGACTTGTTTACCCTCTCTGAATGAATGATCTGACTATATTCTATAACAGTGATGAGAGATGATTGATGTATATAGCACAGAAAGCTCATAGACAACACAGGTTGTAGTGTGCATCTATGCCACTTGCTTAGTATTAATAACTGCTCTTTTTATTATTATGTAGTGATAAGTCTTCACTTTCTTTAATATTTAAGTAAAACCAAAATGAATGGTTTTAAGCAGTTCATAGGCTATTAATTGCTTTTAAAATCTTAGTTTATTTTTACATTTATTTACTAAATTTTTAATTTATTAAATAATTAAATATTACATTACTAATAACCTCAAAGACAATTAAAAACTAAGACTGTTTAAAAGCTGATTTATCACAGTGAATATCAGCTTCACATACAACTGCAAGTGCAATAGTGGCATTTTTTGTATCTCTTTATTACTTCATTAGCTATCACTTGTCTGTACAATTTCAGGTATCATCTTCAATAGTGGTCAATGGAACCATGTCATAGAATCATAGAATAGATAGGGTTGGAAAGGACCTTAAGATCATCCTGTTCCAAACGCCTGCCATGGGCAGGGACACCTCACACTAAACCATGCCACTCAAGGTTTTGTCCAACCTTGAACACCGCCAGGGATGGAGCATTCACAACCTCCCTAGGCAGCCCATTCCAGTGCCTCACCACCCTTACAGTAAAGAATTTCCTCCTTATATCCAATCTAAACTTCCCCTGTTTAAGTTTTAACCCATTACTCCTTGTCCTGTCACTACAGTCCCTAATGAATAGTCCATCCCCAGCCCCCCTTTGAAAGACAGAGAATCAGCTGTCAAAGAAGCTTTAAGCCAAGTGTTACAAACATTTTACACTCCTTGGGTAGCAGCCTTCAGCTTAGAAATGTCAGGTTTTGAACAGGTACACAGAGGAAGGTTTCTGAGGATAACTGGACAGCTTCTGAACAGTTCCAAATTCTCCTGAGGCTACCAGCTTCAGAACCGTCTGTCACACTGCTGTTAACATTTGTTTTAATTGTGAAAAATAAGACAGAATGTGTGGTCTACTAAGAGTGAGGACAGGAATTCCATAAATATGAGCTTGAAGAGATTTCAAAGTTATACCTGAATCTCCTCAATTATTTTTTTTCCTCTCTAGACCATATCTAGCCCAGTCACCATAAAGGCAAATCTAAGAATTAATATTTACTAGTGGATTTAGATGACTAAATTGAACCCAATTTAAAGGAACTCCACCCAAACTAATTCTGAGAGAAATTTCACAGTAACATTGGCCTAACGTGGAGTTTTTTTCAAGTGAGACAATTCTAATGTATGTTCTCACAAGCTTGAAAAGTGAGGTCTTACTTGAAATTTATACTTGCTGTTTGTCTCACCTTAATGACGACATGTGAACATTATAAATATATATCTGCATTAAGAAATCCAATAAATAAATGTCCTACATTCTGAAGTTGCCTACAATAGATATGAGTAGGCAACTTCAGAAAATTGTTTCAACAAAGGGTTCATTGACTTGACTGAGATAACAGCTCCTGAAGATAAGATAGTCCTAGATAGGATAACTGCAATATGAAAGCAGGGTTTCCTTCACACTGCGAAGGAAAAGATATTGTGCACCTGTGGCTGTTCAAGCTTCACAATGTGTCTGATCTACTTTTTCTACATACACGGTTATGAAGTGTGAAATCATGGTAACATACTAATCTTTAAGTCATGAATTTTCATAATCTGGCAAATCTTTCTCCTCTTATGCACACAAACATGCTGCACCTTCTACCATTGACTGTGAGAAGTTGAAAAGTGTTATATTAAGTCATAAAACCAAGAAGATGGAAACCCCAGTAAGTAGATTGTGCTTGAAACTAAATGAACAAGAATTTCCACAGGCTTACAGAAAGGATGAGATGGGAAGGGACATCTGAAGATTGTGTAGTCCAACCTCCCTACTTAAAGAAGAGTCATCTAAGGTAGGTTTCTTAGAAATGTGTCTAGGTGGGTTTTGAATATCTGTAAGAATGGAGACTCCACAACCTCTATGGGCTCTCTGTTCCAGTGTTTGACTACTCTCATGGTAAAAAGTGTTTGCTTTGCATCTGCAGGCTGTTACACAAAGAGACATCTTAAGTTTGTTTTGTAATTTCTCATAGGAAAATACTGGAAAAGACAGTGAGCAGTCATTTCCTAGCATCCTCTCATACTACTAATTTTTTAGAAACTACCCCACCATATTCCCCTAAATCATCTCCTTTCTGGGGTGATTACACTCAGACTACTCAACTGCTTAGAATTAGAATACTAATAATTCAGTAATGCTGTGATACTCCATAAATGCAATACAGTAAATCTTTATTTATTTATTTATTTTTCATATTTCTTTTTTTTCTATCGTGATATAATGGCAGAATGCATGATAAAGAGCAATTCCTAAGTAAGTTATTTGGTTTCTTCAGCCAATATAGTGCCTGCAAAAGGTGCTTTGCTGACTGAAGACTGTGTTTATTCATGAAACAGTTAAAACTCATAACTGTTTGTCTCATCACTATCCCAGCATTTCTATCACAAACCTCCAGAGGCCTCAAATTTTATGTTCATCTTTATACATGACAATGGGTCAGCCGAGAAATCTATTTCATATCTTCTCACCCTCTGATCTTCTATCTTTTTTCTCTGTAAAGTATGATTCAAATGATCAAGATCTAAGAGAAAAAGAAGCAATTAGATAGAAACCAAGAGTCAATCAAAGTGAAGAGGGAATATATTCATATATTTTTCAGCTAAGGAAAACAGCCTTGATGCTCACAGAACTGTAGCATTATGTTTCTGGAGATCTCTTCTTAAGGCAAGCATGCCTGAGGTGCTTGGTTAATTATTCTGCTGGTTCAGAAAGCCTGAGGTGAGCATGGGTACTTGTGTACTCATTCATCTCTAATTATTAGATTCAGATTGGATGTTAACTAATTCTGTTTGTGTACAAATTCCTCCAGATTTGAGCCATAACACTATATAAAAAAACACAAGGAACACGTAAATAAATTGTCAACTATATACAAATCAGCAGCTCAGAGGAGTAAGGAAACCAAAACTGGTAACACCACAACATGAAGAACAAGTATTAACTGAGCAGACAGACTGGAATTCTGCTACTAAACTGATGAATCCCCTAGGAAAGTCAGAAAGCAGCAAAGCAGACTACAGTGGGCTGCATAATGCTGTACGTACCCTTAAACTTTGAAATCTAGCTGCTAAAGCTATATTAGATGACAAAATAAACAGAACTTACACAATACAAAGGGGATGGCTTGCTGTGGTGAGATGCTTCATGTAGCAATGGAGAAAAGTTTTACAAGTCACCATTGTAAGTAAAGCAGCAGGGTCACCTAGTCATTAGAGATGAAGACATCTGTGAAGTTTCATATATGCACTTGTAATCATAGAATCACAGAATAGTTAGGGTTGGAAAGGACCTTGGAAGATAGTCTAGTTCCAGCTCCCCTTCCATGGGCAGGGACACCACACCCTAAACCATGTCACCCAAGAATCCGCCCAATCTGGCCTTCCACACTGCCAGATACATTTACCACTTCTTTGGGCAACCTGTTCTAGTGCCTCACCACCCTCACAGTAAATAACTTCTTCCTTGTATCTAACCTGAACTTCCCCTGTTTAAATTTGAACCTCTTACCCCTTGTCCTATCACTGGAGTCCCTAATGAAGGAATAAGGAGTATCATGTAGAGCTTTCCATCATATATGACTATGGGCCAATCACATTATCCCATAAATATGACAGACTGAGTCTACTTTGAGCTCTCTCTGCTAGGCAGTGTGGCTGCATGATGGTGATCTCCCCTTGAGCTAGGATGCTTCCCAAGTTTTGAGATTCCTTGCCTGAGACTGAGAGATCCTTTCTTATCCAAGGCATTTGGGTAATCTATTTGCAACAGATCCTTGGTAAGTTCCTGATAGCATGCTAAATTAATATGAATAAAATCCATGTAGTTAATCTCTTTGACATAAACCATTGTCCAAGTCTGAGACTAGTACTGGACCTAGATGTACCTAGATCCACCAGGAGTTTAGAAAAGAAGGAGGTCTACTCTGAACCTCATGACTCATCAGAAGGGTCTCCCTTACTCTTTTGTGTCTTCAGTCTCTGTGTAAATCATGTTAAATTGACTTTAACTTGATTTTCCTTTGTACATTTTATACATGCAGTAAGTAAGAGTACACCTTGAACTTTTTCAAGCTTCTCTTTTATAAATCCATATTAAACTCACTTTTGCTAATACTTTTAGCAGCAATTCTTTAAGGATCCTAACTCAGGATCCACCACAAATTGGCTTAGTTGGCTTAGGAGCTGTGATAACTATGTACTTTTACCTCTTCAAGAATACACAGGAGTGATTTACCAATTTCAAGTAGCAGTTGGGTATAATTGCCACCATAAAGCTTTCAAAAAGTAAAAATGTCAGTTTGTGCTAAATGGAAATAAATAACTAGTTTATATACAAATATGTATGCATGCATGCATACAGAAATTTATGAGGAGAAAGATATTTCCTAACAGCTCTTCTCTGAATAATTTTATGGAAAGTTGTTGTATATTGGTGTAGTTACAGTGATTTATATCTGATAAGGACCTGTTATTCTGTACTATTCTATTCTAACACATACATGAAAAACATGTACAAATCAACATTTGTTATCTCCACAAATATCTTATTCAGCCACAGGAAAAAAAGCAATCACCTGTCAAGATCAGTTTTCTTATCACAGATTTTCACAGTATGAAAATAACTATATAACTTAATGTATTTTTCTCACTGAATCAGAAGCCAGAGAACGATTTCATCACCTGTCTGTGTGAAGAAAACCTGTTCTCCCCTGGACCATGAACTCATCCCAGGCACCATTCTAGAGTGCCCTTTGATAAGTGAGACTCCAAATGAGAAGTGCTGGAGACTGTGTTGATTAGGATTGCGCTCTGTAACTTATTTATGAGACTTCTGGTATGTAGTAAAAGGCAAAGAATAATGAAATGTAATGTTGTTGCAGTTCATTCATTTATATACTTTTTCATAGACTCAGAAAGAACTTTCAAGCAAAAGCTAATTCTTGCATTTGGGGAAATGAAGCATTAAAACCAGTTAAAGCAGTAAGCTAGAAACAACTTTTAATAGCACTGTTTCAAAGTGAAACAAAGAAGACATTATTTTTTCCTCTCAGTCTCTAACCCTGTCACACTGAAAAATGGTGAGTAGTGATGAAAGCTGAAGACAGGGAGGGTGAAGAACATTCCCATTTGTTTCTCCTGTAAGCCTAGTGGCCACTTTCAAACAAGTCACATCTTCTCACTATGTCTGTTTATCAGAACTTTTATTTTGAGTACAGTGATATTAACTCCATTTTCACAGTACTTTGAGATCCTTAAATGAAAACAGGATCGTTAGAGCTACATATTGTTATTGTTTCATTCCTTTCTAGTACTTAAGATTTTCCACTGCCTGGAGAATCAGAGACCATTTTTCCCCCCCCATATATTCTAATTTAATTCCACTCCTCATCGCTTGACCCTGCAGATCTTTTTGAAATAGAAAGGGGTTGGGTGAATAAAGATATTTTCTGAAAAATAGATTAGCAAAAAAAGAAAGGAAAATGTTTGGTATTATGCCTAATGTTGGAGCATGTAACATTACCTGAAGTAAACCTGCAGCTTCAAGCCTTCTGGCTGAGGTTTCAATAAGCTTCATAATGGAGTTTCCAGTATGCCCCACCTGTCATTGGTGCCCTGGGACTTCTCCCAGTAAAGCAAGCAGATTGTCACATACAAGGTCTGCATGAGGTTCAGGACATCTGGAGGAATTCATTGCTAAAGCAACACAATTTAGAGCTGCACATCTGTTTTTTCGTTGCACTCCTCAGAATGTGACATCTTGATGAACACATCTCTGGCCAACTTTACCTCAATACAGAGTCCACACTTCTGAAAGAGCTACCTGTTAAAAGTTTATATGAATTGTATTCAGGGCTGTGGAATAGTTGTAGACCAAATATAGCATAAATAGGGCACATAAAGGTGAAATTTGCAATATTGCTGCTGCTACTCTCTCTCTTACAGACACAATGGCTGCAGATGAGCATGTAGCTCAAAGTGCAAATTAATGCAGTGATATCTTCTGTAACAACCATGTTAAAAACATCAGTTCTGAAGTTCTTAGTCTTATTTTAATAGCACAATATTCTACGCAGGAGCCCCATACCTTTTTTAGTGGACATAAATTTTATATGTACATTGATCATAGAATCATAGAATAGTTAGGGTTGGAAAGGACCTTAAGTTCATCTAGTTCCAACCCCCCTGCCATGGCCAGGGACACCTCACACTAAACCATTCCACCCAAGGCCTCATCCAACCTGGTCTTGAACACTGCCAGGGATGGAGCATTCACAACCTCCCTGGGCAACCCATTCCAGTGTCTCATCACCCTAACAGGAAAGAATTTCCTTCTTATATCCAACCTAAACTTCCCCTGTTGAAGTTTTAACCCATTACCCCTTGCCCTATCACTACAGTCCCCAATGAAGAGTCCCTCCCCAGCATCCCTATAGGCCCCCCTTCAGATACTGGAAGGCTGCTATGAGGTCTCCACGCAGCCTTCTCTTCTCCAGGCTCAACAGCCCCAACTTTCTCAGCCTATCTTCATATGGGAGGTGCTCCAGTTCCCTGATCATCCTCGTGGCCCTTCTCTGGACTTGTTCCAACAGTTCCATGTCCTTTTTATGTTGAGGACACCAGAACTGCACACAATACTCCAGGTGAGGTCTCACAAGAGCAGAGTAGAGGGGCAGGATCACCTCCTTTGACCTGCTGGTCATGCCCCTTTTGATGCAGCCCAGGATACGGTTGGCTTTCTGGGCTGCAAGCGCACACTGAAGCCGGCTCATGTTCATTTTCTCATCAACCAACACCCCCAAGTCTTTCTCTGCAGGGCTGCTCTGAATCTCTTCTCTGCCCAACCTGTAGCTGTGCCTGGGATTGCTCCGACCCAGGTGTAGGACCTTGCACTTGGCATGGTTAAACTTCATAAGGTTGACAGTGACTATATTTTTGACAGTGACATTACAGTGTCACTTTAAATGCTGTTTTCTGCTTTCATTTCAGAAATATAGTGACAATAAAACACTATATTAGAGATAGTTTGTTATGAGAATTCATTTGGTTTGGATAAAATTTGTGTTTCTGTGTGCATATGTGTTATAGAGACTTACTAGGATAATCCCTACAATTCACATTTTTTTTTGTTTCAGATCAACAAAATAAGATCTGTTGCAGCCTTACTGCTTTCAGTATTTTGTCATATGTGCATATTACAGAAAGATGTTATTTATTTTACAATATCCAAGTGAATATAAAAATGTGAAAAATTTTATGGATATATAATTCTTCAGTATTTAATAATAATACTGGAAAAGTCAGCAATGGAAAAAAGGGACATATGTAAAATATACATGTAATTCAATAAGTAGATAATTCAATTACTTAACAGAAACGTCTGAATTGTTTGGTGGCTCTTCGGGAATACACTATCCAGACTATACTCAAAAAAAACAAAAAACAAAATTTACCCATTAAACTAACAGAAACAGTGCTTTGGAACTACTCATTGTCCTTACTGCTATAATTGTCGTTTCCTTCTTCTTTCTTCAGTTCCTTTTTTTATTTGTCTTCCTGTGATTTCCACCCACTTAGAAAGGTCATGATATATGGCTTATAGCAGGACTGGAAATTAAAGGCTCAGACTTTGAAGAATCAGACTAAGATACCCAGACAAGGTAAAAGACCTTTTTATCCTACTGTTTTCTTCAAAAGTAGTCTTCAAATTTGCTCTCAGTAGTTTTTCACAGTATGCAGATAAATTTAGGTGTCCCTGAACGGAAATACTGAGAAAGATATCTAATATTGTGCGAGGAAACAGAAAATATTTGCAGAAGTTGACATAGGGCTTGTTCAGAGGAAAAACACATGAAACCATTAAAAAAGCAAAAGCTGTGGAAGAGAATATTAAGCAGTAAAAAAAAAAATAAAAACCCCAAACGAAACCCCCCAAACCAATAACCTTATCTAATATTATGAAAAGGCTCTTTCTGTTTTTAAACCAGTTCAGCGAGCACTAGGACGAAGGGAATTTCAGCATCTGAGGACATCACCAGCATTCAGGAATACGGGCTCCAACCACTGTTCTACAGTTTCTGCCCATTTACAAGCTCCATCATCTCATGTGGCTTGATACTTTCATTAGTACTATCATACACCAACTGTGTATAAATAAAAATGAGCAATAAGGATACCAGCAGGTAACGGGTACAAGATACATTCTATGAAAAGAATTGTGGAAGACAAGGGCAAAGGGGTGCGTGTGAGGCAGATAGGATAGCAGTCAGGCAAGAAGTTTCACGTAAGTGTTTTGGTCCTGAAGAAACCCTTTGATCTAAATCTACCTTTTGAAAATTAGCAGTTAAAAGTTTTCTGTACATCCAAACACAAGAAAATAAATACTTATCCCTCTTTCTAAGTTAAATTTGTCAGATTTAAGGGGGAAAAATGGTCTTTATAAAGCACATTGAATAACAATCATTAGTAAAGAGAATACTTTGGTACCTTGCAATAAGAAAGCTTTGCCAAGCTGAAAGAAAGTAAAATTCCATTTCAAACATTGCTCAATTAAAGGGGTTCCACAGCCCCTTACATTAGATAATTAACTTATCTGGCCTACAGCACTTGCACATTTCTTATCACTATTCATAAATACAACTTTTTTTTCCTCATTTTCTAGATAACCTCAGATTCACAGGTTTAGGTAACTTTTTGTATAGTAATTCAATGTAAGTTGCTTATCACCTTAATAAAACAGACC